ACCCGCGAACGCAGAGGCTGTAGCTCGGCAACTTCCGGCGCTCCTCGGCAACTTCCGCCCACACTCGGAATCCAAACCCCGCCCCCATGTCGCGGCTGGGCCGGCGCAGGAGGCGGTGGTGAGGTGGGAGCGCGGTACCAGCCCCAGCGCGGCTGCTTGGCGCTGCAGAGCGCAGAGGCAGAAGTCGGTCTTTGCCACGCACCTCCTCTGGGCCGTTAACTGTCCCGGTCCCTGCGCTGTGGGGACAGCCATTATACTAGACAGCCATAGAGAGGACAAAGGGGAGAGAGTGAGTGGAAAGGCCAAGGTGGGGTACCTCGCCTAGACTGAGTGTGTGTTGGCGGCATTTTCCCTCTTCAAAACAACGCAACATTTAACAAACATCTGAGCTCCTGTTTGATTTCCTCCTCCAAACCTATCGTTCATCCACCGTTAAAGTGGACCACGCTGAGCAGAGATGCGGCCCAATCATAATGGAGCTTACAGTTTGTGGTAGAGTGGGGAGTTGGTCCAGGGCACCCCTGATAGTAAGCTCTGGTTCTTTAGTCCCTCATCTTGCACATCCAATCCCAGCTACAGTCAGTTCTGCCTTCAAAATACCTTGTACTTATTTCAATATCGATCATGTTTCTCTACTAAGACCGAGATGGGTTTGATGACCTGCAAGTCTGTTTAAAGTGAGTTGATGAGTGAAGCAGTGAGGCAATCAAGCCTGTTCATTTTTTTACATCTCCACCACCACTGGTGCTCTATGTTCCTGGCTAATCAACTGGATGATACCACCTTAACTTTCTTGCCCGCCCTCCAGAAAAATCAGCCAGTTGAAATGTTAGGTCACAAGTCAGATCACCTCAGGCCCTTGCTGAAAACAGCCCTGCCCTTGATGACTCTCCACTGTATTTGGACCTAAACTCCATGTCTGACTGCGGTTCTTTCCGCTAGAACTTTCACCATCTTACCATCTGATTAACTAGGATAGTATGTTTACCCAACCCCCTTCATTACACTTACTTTAAGTTTATTAACACTTTAGTTTCCTCACTTTTGTGTCCTGACCAGGGATCAAACCTGCAACCTTGGCTTATTGGGACAATGCTCTGAGCTACTTGGCCAGAGATATTAAATAACTAGAGGCCACGTGCACGAAATTCATGCACAGGTAGGGTCCCTAGGTTCCCTGCCTCCCCATTCTCTTGCCCCCCACCCCAGGTTCCCCATGCCAGCCCAGGGCCCAGCCACAATCAGGTGATCGGAACCTGCCGGCCAGGGGGAGGGACCCAGGAGGTTGGCTCCTGGCTCTGAGGAGGGAGCTGGCCCTTGGCCCCCCTGGGAAAGGGGCCCTGTCTGCTGCCACCCACCCTCAGTTCCCTGTTCCAGCCCAGATGCCCAGCCACGATCTGGTGACCTGGTGACGGGGGCCTGCCAGCCAGGGGGAGGGACCAGGGGTTTGGCCAGCAGACCCCATTGCCAGTGGGGGCCTGTGGGCTGGGGGAAAGCTCCTTCGTTGAGTGTCTGCCCCTGGTGGTCAGTGCACATCATAGCAACCAGTTGTTCCAGTCATTCCATCATAAAGGTCACTTAAGGCTTTTATATGTATAGATATAGATTATAAATGGAGCAAGGATCGAAACTCAAGGCAGTCTAAGTCTAGAGCCCACGGTCTCTCTTTACCCTATGGGCTTTATTCTAAGAAGCATCAGGTTAAAAAACCTTAGAATAAATGTATGGGTATGCATGTGTTGCTAGCAGGAAACCTTGTATCAGTTCAAGAGAACTCAACTTTTGGGAACAGTGAAACAATCAACTGACCAGCCTGAGTTCTGATTAGGTTAACAAGACCAGTCATGCCATCAGAAGTACAAACAAGGTCACCACAGTGCCAATATAATCAGGATAATTTCCAAAGCTGGGCAAACCAAACTTCTGCACTGAGCCCCACTAAGGCCATAGCTGGTCCAAGTTCAGGAAAAGGCCAGATTGGCATTCCCTGACATTTTTTTCTCCTAGAACTCCTCCCCTTCCATTGCTGCCTCTATAAAACACCCACAATGATTCCTATCTTGTTTAAAAGAATAGGAACAAAACAAAAACAAAAAGAAGGATTTGGGGGAATTATCAAGTTATTTGGGATCAGAAATTTCCCCAACTCTCCATTTGAAGGAAGGACTGGCACGTTTTCTTGGGAAGCCTTTTCTTGTAGTTTACCACCTCCCTCTCACCCCCTCTACCCATCAAGGGCCTCTGCCTCACTCGACAAAATCAAGAAACCAAAATGAGGTCTCGCTGTTCTAGTGGACATACCACCAGCCCTAGAAGCCTCCTCTCACCCTGAGGCCCTGCAAATTAAGATGAAACGAGGTGACTGGGCTAAGTGGCTTTATTAGAGAAAACCAGATTACAAAGGACTTTAAGAGTTGGCATTGGGGCCCTTCTTCTTGCCAAAGGTGGGCACAACATTGACAAAACGCCGGTTGTACTGCATCCGTCGCTTGGCCCGACCAGTCTTCTTCTTCTTTTTCTCCTGTTTGGCCACCTGGGAAAGGGAAGGCTGATCAGACCCTGGTCAAAAGCCAAAGGTCTTAGCTTATCTGTGATGGTAAAAAAATAAGTCCAAAGGACACCACTAATACTGCACTTACCTTGGGGGTCTGACCTCTTACTTTCCCAGCACGGGCCAGAGAACCATGGACTTTACCTGTGGTGGAAAGGGACAGCAAGCGGTCAGGAGCAAGAAGGCCCCACCCAGCAGAATTCTCTCTTCCTCAACTCAAGCCTCTAAAAGGTGAGCTGGGCTCCACAGGAAATGAGAACAAAATTGCAGAGACTTGACATCTGACCAGGAATTAGCCTGGCATGTTCTAGGTTTCACTTCGGGATTTCCTAGCCCCTTGACTTTAATTAAGAACTGAACAGCACCCTGGGGATCTGGTCTAACCTCCTAATTTTAATGAGGAAACTGGGAAATAGGCAAAGATCTAGTAAGTGACTGAAATAGAACTACATTCTAGTTCAGTCTTCCAGGAACCTCTCAAGAGTTAATTCTGCCAAAGGACAGAGATAGTAGGGGGGCAGGGACATGTGCTGGGGCGGGGAGGGGGGATGAGGGCATGTGCTGGGGGACGGGAGTGGCCAGGGAGAGGTCAATGGGAGAAAAAGGAGACATGTGTAATACTTTCAACAATAAAGTATTTTTAAAAAGGAGTTAATTCTGCCCTGGCTGGCATTCTCAGTGGTTAGTGCCAAGCCTGCACACAGAAGGGTCACTGGTTCAATTCCTGGTCAAGAGCATGTACCTGGGTTGCAGGTTCCATCCCTGGCACAGTGGGGTGGATGTGGGAGGCAACCAATGGATGTCTCTTTCTCACATCAATGTTTCTCTCTCTCCCCCTCCCCACCTCCCTCCCACTCTCCTGAAAACCAATGGAAAAAATATCTTGGGGTGAGGATACCAAAACAAACTAAGAGTTAATCCTGAGGTAAACAGGAAGAACCACGTTGGATTAAGGACACTGATCTCATTATGTGCTTACAAGCAAAGGACAGTCCTCCCCAGCTCACCTCCAAGCATGCGGGCGGCTACTTCCAGAGTGGACAGCGCCTCCACCCCACACTGGCCCAGGGTAGCCTCATCCTCCAGGGGTGTGCCCGCCAGGAGCACGACTTGATCTTCGGGAGCGATGCCCTCCAGCGAGGCTACATGAGCCTACAAGCAAAAATGAGGCTCATGAGCGTTCCCGCAGGGAGCGAGGTTAAAGAGCACAAGAATACGGCGCCCGCGGTGCACCCCGCAGCCTTACCTTGATCTGGGAGACAGTCTCCCGGCCGGTCACCTCGAGGGTGTGTAGCTCCTGGGCGCGGACAAACAGCTGCATGTCGGCGACTGAGGAAAAGGAACGCTTGTGAGAGAAGGAATATTCTGGGAGAGCGGGCGTCGGGGAATCGGTGGCGGGCCGGGGGCGATCGCAGGTCTCACGTGGGTAAGACAGGGCCGGCCGGCCTGCCCGCCTGCCAGGGAGGTCGGGTGGGGACAAGAACCAAGCCCACACAGCAACCTCTCCTCCTCTGTTCTTCCCGCGCCCTCTGACCTCGCAGCCAACCTGCTAGGAAGCCCCCCGGACTCAGCTGTGCCCCCAACTCTACCTGAACTGCGGCCTGTGCCGCTCCCGCGAAGATGGAGTCGAGAAAGAGGAAGGAAGAGGAGCGTACGCGTCCTAAGCGCTTGCTGCGTCTAACGTCACTGCTGCGCGCCGACGGGAACCTCCGCTACTTATGCCGCCCACAGCGTCGTAACCCCGCCCCTTGACGCTCGCGTAGGTGTTCTTCCGGTCTCGCGGGGCGTGCGCAGGAAGCGTGGGGCTGGGCGGGTTGCGCGCGCAGGAAGCTAAAGCTGGAGGAGTTCAAGATGGCTGCGGCCGTGTTCCCGGCTTTGCTGCGGCGCTGGAGGGTCGGCGTGCAGCCGGGCGGCGCGCTGCGGCGGCTGGTGAGAGTACTGAGCATGGAGCGGGGGGCAGAGGGCTGGGTGTGAGGCTCGCTGTTCTTCCTTTCAACCCTGAAAACCGCATTCCCGTTGGGGCCTTAGTTTTCCCGTCTGATGAGGGAGACCTTTTCTGTTGCTGAGATGCAAGATTGAGAAGGAAGGTGACAGGACCTGGTGCGCGTTTCCGGGGGTGGGGTTAGCACCTGATTGGAGGACAACCTCGGTGAGTCGGTACTTGGCGGGGCTGCGCTGCCTAACGCAAGGGGAATAACGGGTTCACAGAGTGACTCCCATCATTGGCGACACTACTGGGAACCTAGAGCTCATGACATACAGGCCGTTGCACCCCGCTTCCCTGGCCTCATTGTCACCCCGGCGCCTGGAAGGACTCCGGGGTATCTGTCGGGATAAGTGTCCAAAAGGGATCTGAAAGCTGCAGGATGGGAGGACAGAATTTGGAGCGTGACCTTAGGGTAGAATTGCTGAATGTTTTGATCTTCCTTGGATTAAAAATGGGTGTGATAAAATACGCCGCGTCATAGAATTTGATGAAAACAATACCTGCAGAGCACTTATGATGCCTGCCCGTGTGTGTATGAGGCTGAAACCTT